TGCTCCCTTTTTCTCTGCCTTGTATGTCTGTGGCTCTGTTTACTCCAGGACTCACTCCACATTCGGAGGCCTGATGAATCTAAAAATATTTTTGTAATGTGGCTCTATCTAATCAGACCTCCTCCTGGCCAGCATCACTTTGAAGGATTCCACGGCATCTATTTCTGGAGGGTGGTGAGCCGGCCACGGCGTGCTCAGGAAGTAAAATTTGCTGTTTAAGGCATTCACCACTTAAGTGGTCCCAACTAAAGAAAAAGTGCCAGAGGCAATTACTGTATTTTCCTCGTGATCTAAAATCCATAACTGTTTGGGGATTCACTTAGGGGAGGGGCTTCCCTGCTGGAAGAAAAGCCCTTGAGGACAGAAGTCTGCATGCACAGCATAGGTACCCAACCAATGTGTCCGCTGACCGTTTTCTATTCAAGCATTTCTCCAAGAGGACTCAGAGCTCAGTACTGTGTGTCAGAGTGGACTCGGGTTTTGGGGGTCCTGAAATATAAAATGTAGGGGGGCCTTAAAGAAAAATGCAGGGGCGCCTGGGTGGCTCAGTCGTTAAGCGTCTGCCTTCGGCTCAGGTCACAACCCCAGGGTCCTGGGATCGAGCCCCACATCGGGCTCCCTGCTCAGCAGGAAGCCTGCTTTTCCCTCTCCGACTCCCCCTGCTTGTGTTCCCTCTCTCGCTGTGTCTCTCTCTGTCAAATAAATAAATAAAATCTTTAAAAAAAAAAAAAAAGAAAAATGCAGCTTCAGGATTTTTTTTTTTTTTTAATCAGGTGCTGGGCCTTGTAAGGAATGCATACAGAGTGGGGCTCTGACCCGGCAGCTCTGGGGCGTCAGGGTAAGGCCGTGCCCGGACATCCTCAGATCATTTTCAGAAGGACAAGGGAACAACCAAACATGGGCAGGAGATGGTAGGTTAAAATTAAATCCTTTCTGGCAGTTCTTAGCTTGTAGGAATTTTTTTTTTTTAAGCTATATACAATTTATCAAAGTCACACATTCAGAAACTCAATTCTTCATTACTTTTTTAATGCAACTTACAAAACTTAATAGTAGTCTATGTTTAAAGGCTGCAGGTGTAAATGGTCACTTTTAAGGGGCTTTTTGGACTTGAGGTATCTACCCCTCCCCCTTCCCACCCGAACTCCTGCCCCACAGGATCCTAATAAGCTCTCAGGGCACCTCATTCGCTGAGAAGGCAGGGCAAAGCGTGCCACCTCCCACACCCCTTGCAGACCATGGTGCTGGAGGCCTCACTCAGGGGACGCCGGGCGATGCTTTTCACAAAGCTGGACGCTAATGAAGCGAAGCGCCCTTCCCTGCTCAGAAACCCCAGCATAGCCCACAGCATCCTGGATGTTGAGGTTGAACGCTCGGCCTGGGGTCACTGGGGAAACCCTTGGCAGTGTGGGGACGGTGCCGGGGACCAGATCCCAGCCCAGGGCTGTTCATCCCTTCTGCCCTGGTAGGATGGGTAGGAATGCCTGGGGGACCCGAAAACCTGCCTTCACCCTTCCCCAGGTCCTGAAAGGCAGAGCAGGATCAGGCAAAGTGGTTCTGGGAAGGGGGGGCCCTTCAGGCAGACCTGTTTGCCTAAAACACTGTGGTCTATCACCTCCTCCCCCACTGGGCTGGGCTGTCACTGCACAGTTGATACCAGCCTCCCCCAGCAGAGGTTGCGAGACACTGGAGCGGGAGCTTTGGGGGATGGAGATTATACATGCCCACCCCGGGATGATAACGGAGGAGGGTCCTCGGATGGCAGAGCAGGGAGACTGAGGTCCTCAGAGGCCACTCCCAAGTTACGGCAATGCCCACAGCTTCCTTACAGAGGGATCTCAGCCCTGGGCTCAAGTCCCAGTTCCTCCACGCAGGAGCTCTGTGACTCGGGAACGGGCACAGCACCTCTCTGAGCCTGACTTTCCCATCTGTAAAATGGGGAGAACAGGTGTTCCTACCACTACTTCCAGTAGGGTTTTAGAAAACAAAAGTAACATACTCCAGCTACGCAGCACAAAATGCATGCTCAATGAATAACCACGTACATCCGTGAACGCTCCTATGAACCAGGCCCCGGATAAATTCTTCCCCAGGGACTTGCACACCCTATGGAGGACGGCGTTAACAACAACGGGTCTCACGGATTCCACACCTCATGGCTTATAAAGAACTTTGGCAGTCCTTACTCTTGCTTCTTCCTCATGATTTTACTCTCATTCATTCAACCAACCAGTAATGGTCCTCCCAGCGCCTCTAGTAGGTCACCAGCCCTGGACACAGCACTAGGGCCAGGGACAAAGACCCAGGTCCTGCCCCTCATGGGGCCAACAGTCTGTTAGGGGCCCAGTTATGATTCTGTGCTGTCAACGGGGGGATGCGGCACCCCCAGGAGGCGGCTGTGGGAGTGCAGGGGGTAGGAGGGCTATCTTGGAGAAGGCGGTGTCCTCGAGGAGACCCCAGCAAAGCAAACACCAGCATCCAGAGACCTTGGTGGTCCCCAGCTAAAGAGTATGGACATGACCTGAAGGGGGCCCAAGGCCTGGGAGCAAGGGCTGCTCACCGGGTCTAAGCAGACACACTCAGGGCCTGCGTGAGGGCAGGGGGGAAAAGCATGATGCGTGGGATGGTCCTGGGGGTGGGTGTGCAGGGTGGGTGTGCAGAGCCCACGGCTCGTGTGCCCACAAGTGGGAGGCAGGAGCCTGCAACACGGGCCCCTCAGTGCCTATGGGGGTGCAGCCTCCGCCCACCCAACCCAGAGGGGCTCCTGGGCACCATCCTCGGTGCTGCGGGGGGCCGACCTGCCCGTGACCGTGCGTGCTTGTTGGAAATGCAGAGTCTGGGGTCCCGCTCCAGACCTGTGAGTCAAACCTGCATTGTAACACGGTTCCCTGGTGATCACACCCACGTTCACACTCGTCGTCCCACGGGGAGGCAGAAACCGCTGCATCCTGTGGCCACGGGGAGGATGTAAGGGGCCCGGAGAGCCTGACAGGGTGCTGACCGGGGCGGGGTCGTCATCAAGGAAGACTTCCTGGAAGAAACCCTGCTGCTGCTAAGATCTACCAGCCGCGTTGGATTTAGGCAGAGGGATGCGAGCCAGAGGAGGGAGGCCACAGGCTTGAGGACAGGGGTGGTGGTTAGGACGGCACAGATAGACATCTGAGCCCCGGAGGCAGGAGAGCCAGGTTGGGGACAGATGCGTGGTGGCCTCTGCTGAGTGCTTACTACACCCCAGGGCCGGGCGCTCAGGGGGCGTGTGGCACAGGTGCTGGCTAGAAATGCAGGGTCCCAGGCCCCACACACCGGCCGAAGCCAAGCCTACATGAGGAAGGTTCCTGAGTGATCTGCGCACACACTCCAGCTGGGAAAGATTATGTGTAGAGCACATACACTGGGCCACACGGAGCTCGGATGCTAGAACCTCAAACTGGGAGAGGCTCTGAGGACAGCCTGGCTGCCAAGTGCCACCCCCAAGCACAGCAGCTTGGTCCAGGGCTGAGGGCATCGCTTGCTGGAAAATTCTCTTGAGAAAGGAGGCCCCACTTTCACACATTGCCCACCATAAGCTGCATCCACCAGCACAGGTACCAAGCACCTGGCACAGAGCATGGCCCAGAAACTTCTCATGGAAGGAGGGGGAGGGGTGCCCTTGCCACTTCCATGGTCCAATATCCAGGTGCACAGTGTTACCTCCCCTTAGACCCCCAGGTGCCCGGCTGAGGTGTTCCCACCCTGCACCCACTCCTCAGCCCAACTTGCCCTTGAGAAACCACTCCACCCTCCATCCCTGCCCCTGGCTGATGACCCAGCTCCACACCCTCACAGCACTAGGGAAAATCCATTTGCATCTCTAGCCCTGGCCACGGTGATTGGCTCCGACCCAGACATGTAACACTCTCGGAGCCAACGAGAAGCCAGGTGACTTTCTGCTGGGCTCACTCCCTCTCCTTTACTGGGCTTAGCAGGTGCCCTGGAGAGAATTAAAGACGTCAGTCCTAACCGGCTCTCATTCTGCCTTGGCTATAATCAAATTGAGACAAGAGGCCACGGGAACTATGCGATCACCAGACTCTAAGCTCTGGGAATGGAAGCTTTGAGAATACAATGCATGGGATTAACAACATGCTTTTGTTTAGACAGACCAGGGAAAGTGGATATTTTATCTGTCAGTTTCCATAAAACTTAGGTAAAATTTAAGTCTGTTTACTAAGATGAAGGAAGTTTCCCTGGATTATTCAAATGTTTGTTTTGAGCCTCGAAGACTGTAAACTTCAGACCTGGAATATTTATTTTAGGAAACTGCATCTGTTAGAAAGTTTGTGGTACAGTGCTGTTTACTTTGCATTGGAAACTCTGCTTGCAACAGTTTGACTCAAAGCTTCTTGGCCAACTCTGTGATGACCAAACACGCTAACCAGGACTTCTCACTAACCTAGTTCTGTATAATTCAACCAGCATCTAAGACTGAACACACTGTTATAGGATAAGGGGAACAGTTTAAGGCATTCCTCCCTAAAACTACATAGCTTCTAAAAGATTAACATTAAAAACGCAATGTAGGATGGCCAGTTTCCTCGACAGAAATCAGAGGCTGCTCCTGCCATCTTGCCTGAGGCTGGAAGTAACCACCAAGAGGAAGCGGAGTCAAGAGACATTCAACAGACCTTCAACGTCTATCTGGGATTCTAAGCACAGAGGCCAGAAGCATGTCCCATCTGAGGAAGTCAGGGTAGGGTAGGTGTGGCTGACTGGCCCACTGTCTTCACTCTGGTTAGACATTCCTGATCCCGAGAGAAACAGGTGTGGCTCTAGATTGGCTCTAGAACATCTCATCTAGAAGGGACCAAAAGAATTACAACAACTACAGGTTTGCCACAGGAAATGGGGCAACCCAGGGGCTCTTTCAGAGTCACCCCGCACTCAGAGAAAGAAAGAGCTGAAAGAGAACTCCTCAAGGGCCATGGACCTGCCCAACGCCCAAACCCAACCGCAGGTCTTACCGAATGGTGGGCTGGTCTCCACTCAGCTGCTTAAACCTCCGGTGGAGCTGCTCGATCTGGTCTGAGGAGACTGAGAAGCAGGGGAGGAGAAGGAGGGGGGCAGAGTGGGAGAGAGAAACAGGAAGACATCAGTGATCCCTGAACTCAGAAGCCACCAGCAGGAGGCTGGTGACATCCTCCTGCCTCGTCCCACCCTCCCGTTCCATTGTTCTGCTGCATTCCCCACCCGGGCAACACTGAGCACCACCAGAGGAAGAATCCAACAGAGGGTTTCCCCTTCCTCCTGACAATGCGCCTCCGGGGTTATTCCTTCTGATCCCCTTGGCAATAAAACAGCAACTCCCGGGACAGCACGGACGCGAACCAGGCCATTCTCCCCTTGCCCAGCCCGCTAAAGGGATCCCATCCGTTTGTCTGGCTTCCTCCCCTCCCACTCCTGAAGACAGGTGTTTTCCTAGCTGAGCAAGGGGCTTCAGACAGTTGGTCCCATATTGCGAGACAGAGGAGTATGGGAGGGAAAAGCGGTTCGGGCTGGTGCTAGGTAATTTGGGAGACGCACAGTGAGACACAGAGGATCTGGTGCAGCAAGAGAACTAGAAGGAAAAGAAATAGGATCTTGGTAATTGCACTGTGCATGACGTATGATCGCAATAGTTTTAGAAAACCTACATACGGGAGTTTTTCTTAATGGCCCTTTCCGGACTGGTGGGCCGTGTTTCTTCCACAGCTGGGATGGGGCCCTGTGCGTTCCAGGATTCATAATGGTTTCGTCCACACAAGGGCTTATCTTATGAAATGCACAGTATGAAACACTGACCTGTACCTTCTCACTTCAGCCTCAATACAACACTGTAGTGGAGTAGCTACTCTTCTATGTCATATTTGAACACTGTAGCTACACTTTCGACCACACAACCTGTCATCAGTGGAGCTGGGATCCATCTCCCAAGCCTGCCCTCATCCACTACTCAGTATCTCCTGTCTGCCCATATACCCTGGCATGCAAGGCCCTTACCTCTGGTTCCCGGGGACTATGTACAGTTCATGCAGAACCATCCAAACAGGTGCTGGGCTGACAAACAGCCAGCCCCCTCCTCCCAGTGCTTCCCATGCCTTAAACATCTTTTCTCCTGTTACAGAGGCAACTAATTTCTGGGACCAGCTGGTCACCTCATTTCCTGTTGGGTGTTTTTTTTTTCCCCAAAGTTGTTTTTTTTTTTTTTTTTGGTCTCAGACTCAGGTTGTATCTCTTCAAGAATCTGCAGCTCAGAATTCTCCAGCCTCCCTAGAAGCTGTTGTTGGTGAGAAAATACTCCTTATGACTGCCAGCTGGTACGGAGGGTTTGCTGAGAACCGGATGCACATCTCCACACATTAGCTCGTCTCTTCCCCATGACACCCTGGGATGGGGCTCTATCCCCATTACAGATGTAGAAACTGACCATTGGAAAGGCTGATAACCACCAGGGGCTGCTACCACCTTTCTGGAGGAGGATATGGCCATTTACAGCACATGCGTATCAGCAAAGACATGTGTATACTGGATAGCCTAGCAATTCCACTCCTGGGTACATACCCAACAGAAACGCATACTTGTGCTCATCAGAAAATGTGCAGAAGGAGGTTCATGGAAATACGATTTCAACAGCCCTAAACTGGAAGCTATCCAAGCGCCCAGCAATGGCAGAGCACATAAAGAATTACAGTGTAGCGTAGTCACGCAATAGGATAGTACACGGCAGTGAACCAACAATATGTGTTGTAACTTGGGTGAGTTTCAAAACCACAAAAATGGGCCTCTAGCTGGCTTAGTTGGTGGAATGTGGGACTCTTGATCTCGGGGTTGTGAGTTCGAGCCCTACACTGGGTGTAGAGATTACTTGAAAAAAATTTAAAAATCCTAAAAAAAGAACCATCAAAACAAGCAAAAGTAGTCAGACAGGAAAGAGCACGTGCTTTATGATTCCATCCAAATAAAGTTCAAAAGCAGGCAAAACTCATGTATGATGTTAGAAGTCAGGATAGAAAAGCTACATTCTGGATGATTCCAAATATAAGACATTCTAGAAAAGGCAAAACTATGAAGACATGAGAGACATCAGTGGCTGTCAGAGGTCGCGGGGGCGACGGATGCACAGGGAGAGCACAGAGGGTTTTTAGAGCAGTGAAACAATTCTGTAGGATATCATCATGATGGATGCCCATCACTATACATATATCCAAACCCACAGAACGTACAACCCCAAGAGGGAACCCTAATGTACACAATGGACTTGGGGCAATGATGATGTGTCATGTAGGTTTGTCGACTGTATCCAAAGTACCACTCTGTTGGGGGATTACTGATAATGGGGGTGATCAAGCAATAGTGGGGTTGGGGGTGGGTATACGAGAAAACTCTAATTTCCCCTGAATTTTGCTATGAACGTATCTAAAACTTCTTTAAAAATAATGATGACGACATTGTCTTAATTTTTTTTAGAGGGGGAGAGAGGGAGAGAGAGAATCTTAAGCAGGCCCCACACCCAGTGCAAGCCCAATGTGGGGCTTGATCTCACAACCCAGAGATCATGACCTTAGCCAAAATCAAGAGTTAGACCCTTAACCGAATGAGCCACGCAGGCACCCTGTATTAATTTTTAAAAAGAGAAGTTGGGATAGTGGTTGCCCCTGAGGGGAGAGGAGCAATTTGAATGGGGCATGAGGGAGGCCTCTGGGTACTGGGAGTATTCTATTTCTTGATCCAGGTGCAGGTTATACACATGTGTTCTCAGCAAGTTCACGGAAATATATGTTCATGGGTGATGCACTTTTTGGTACATGTTATCACAGTAAAAGGTTTACATGAAAAATTCAGTGATTCAAAAAAAAAAAATTCAGTAATTCTACTTGGCAAGAATTTGTCCTAAAAAAAATAAATCCAACAAGAACAGAACATGAATATATAAATGTGTTCAACTTTATATTTTCTTTAATTTTATTTTTTAAGTAATCTCCATGCCCAACGTGGGGCTTGAACTTAAAACTCTGAGATAAAGAGTCGCACGCTATACCGACTAAGCTAGCCAGGTGTCCCACCTCTGTATTCTTAACAGCTTAAAAACTGCACTTGGGCGCCTGGGTGGCTCAGTCGGTTAAGTGCCTTCGGCTCAGGTCATGATCCTGGAGTCTCCGGATCGAGTCCGCATTGGGCTCCTTGCTCAGCGGGGAGCCTGCTTCTCCCTCTCCTCCCCACTTGTGCTCTCTCTATCTCTGTCTCTCTCTCTCAAATAAATAAAATCTAAAAAGAAAATTAAAAAAAAAAACTGGACTCAACCTAAGTGCTCACCAAAAGCAGATTGGTCAAATATTTTATGGTATACTTAGCCAATTAAAAAAAAGCATGTTGCTTTTGAAAAGTGATAACTGTATACCTGACATGAAAATATAGTCCACATATGATGTCATTTAAAAACAGCTTGCTGGGGCACCTGGGTGGCTCAGTTGGTAGAGCATGTGACTCTTTTTGTTTTGTTTTGTTTTTAAAGATTTTATTTATTTGACAGAGAGAGAGAAGAGACCAAGCAGGGGGGAGCGGCGGCAGAGGGAGAGGGAGAAGCAGGCTCCTCACTGAGCAGGGAGCCCGGTTCGGGGCTCAATCCCAAGACCCTGGATCATGACCTGAGCCGGAGGCAGACGCTTAACCAACTGATCCACCCAGGCGCCCACCAGTCGAGCATGCAACTCTTGATCTCAGGGTGGTGAGGTCAAGCCCCACATTGGCGCATACTTAAAAACACAACAGCTTACTACAAAAATAGCATGACCTCATGCTGGGGGAAATATGTACACACATACAAATGTATATAAGTAATGAAAGGAAATCTGGGCTTATTTTCCCCGAAATAATAATAGCAATGGTCCCTCCCCAGTAGCGGGATTAAAGTGTTTGTTTTGCTTTGATTCATCTATATTTTCCAAATTTTCTCTAATACGCAATGCATGTTTATCAGTCACGTAATGAATATTTTAAGCACACAATATGGTCCCATATGGGACAGCCCAGGGATCTCGAAAACATCGCTATGGATGAATCATCCGTTGGCAGAGTAGCATGTCCTGCGAGCACATGTTCTTACTTAATCCTCTGCATGACCCTAGAACGGACAGACACTCCCATTTCACAGAAGAACAAACTAAGGATCTGAGGGGGATAGGTAACTTGCTGAAGGTCGCTGAAGTTGAAAGGCAGACCCAGGATTTGGGCTCAGTTTGTCGGGCAGAACGTGTGTGGTTTCGTGTTTATTCATTTGCTTACTGACACCCCATACCGCCTCCCTTTGTGTGATCAAAGGCAGCTCTGAGCAATCAATCGCAGATTAAAAAAAAAAAACAAAACACAATGATCTGATGAAAAATAACTATCAGAAATTACAGCCCAAGATGATTCTAAACAACCTCTATGACAGATGAGTTACCTTCAAAATGATGCTAAGTGAAAGAGGCCAGTCACAAAGGCCACCCACTGAATGATTCTATTTATAGGAGATGCTCAAATAGGCAAATCCAAAGTAGACGAGGGCTTGCCTGGGGCTGGGGAGGTAGGGGGAGTCATGCTAATAGGTACTGAGCTTCTTTGGGCGGGGGGCATGAAAATGTTCCCAAGTTAGATTGTGGTGATGGTTGCACAACCCTGTGATTATACTAAAAACTACTAAGTACACTTTAAATGGGTGAAATGTACAGTATGTGAGTTACATCTCAATAGAGCTATTTAAAAAAATGAATTACGTGCATAAGCACAAGAACCACATTCACTGTGTCCAGGGCACTGTGTTCAGCCCCACTCCTGCTAAGCCCTGGCTCACATAAGCCTCTCATCAACCCTATTGGGTAAGGATGGTTTTTATCCCCATTCTAGAGATGGGAGCACGGAAACTTGCCCAAGATCACAGATAAGAAGAGGTGTATAAACCAGAAATCATCATGGACCAGGTTTCTCTAATGAAGTTTCCAGCTAATTGCATGTAAAGTGCCTGCACACATGCACACTCACACATATGCACACAACCCTTCCTATCACGCCTGATT